TCTACATAGTCCAGTAGCTGTGGTAATGCTTTCAATTCATCTCTGCTTCCCTATCTTATATAAGTGTTGACATTGTGTTTTTAGGCTGGGGTTTTATGTTGATTTCCCTTCTCCCCTAAACATGTAGACATATACAACATAATTCTGTTTTGGTAGGTCTTCTGTGTGATGCTTAACCCTGGTGGGTGCCCACCCTCTCAGCCTCTGATAAAATCAGTTTCACGTCAACAACTGTCTGGCCTCTTCCAGTCTGGGATTCTGGTGTGAGAATTTCCAGGAACTCAGTGTCAGCTATCACAATTGGCTGACGCTGGCTTCCAGAGAACTCAATGCTGATGGTGTGTTTTGAAAAAGGAGTTGTAGATGTCTGTCAAGATGTCTTTTCCTCTTTTCTCATGGTACAAACTCTGAGACCTCTATCTCTGGAATTCCCCCTTTTATTGGAGATGCCTTTGTGGTTTGTCTGGCTTCTGGGAAACCAGTGTAATAGAACATGGTAATTTGGATTTGATGGTCTAGCTTTACCTCTTCAGCAGTACCCCTTCAGCAAATTACTCCTCTGCCTCAGTGTCTTCTCTGTGAAATGGAACCAGTGTTGTGGAGATAGCTGAGTTTGTGTCTAGAGAAGGGAGCTTCAGAGAGCTGGGACACCTTTGGGTGAAATACATAGGGTGAATGCTACACAAGTTCTTTCATTTTTCTGGATCATCCCAGGTTAGTTTTTACTTTTCCCACAAAAGTGATAACTCAGGAGCCAGCCTGTGCCCAGGTTCCATGTTGGTATGAGATTCTCGCCACCCAAATGCTCTCAAAAGCTTGCATCCTCCTTCTCATTCCACACCCCAGGGTGCTAAGTGGGTTCTCCCCTTCCCTGGATGAACACCTAGTTAGCCAGCTGGGAGAGCAACAGCATGTGTGTGTCACATTTAGTGAGTCACTGAGAGGGTCATGGGGTGGTGATGGTGGAAGGGGCCTTACCTCAGCCAAACAGTGGAAGAGCAGTTATGTTTTATGCATTATACATAAAAGGTGATAAACCCTTGGGGTGAACATGATTCTTGATCTGGGAAGAAATCCAGGGGGTGCTGGAAAAGTCATGACAGGAGGAAGTTTGTGCTCTCCTCCAGAACAAGGTAGACTGCTACTGACTGTGAGAGGTGAGGTCTTTTGGGGGTCCACTTACTTCTTGGCATCAAGGACTGCTCCAAATCCCTAGCTGCCCAGTGAGGACATGGGAATCCTCCCTAGATGCCACAGTTCATTCTAGGCCTAGAAACACCCTGCCAGGCCCATTAGTGCTGGCATCTGTGAAGGGCCCTTCATTGCTAGTTTCTGACTTGCCTCCTATCATTTCTCCTCATTGCTCATGTTACATCTGCCCCTTTTCACAGGGATGCTTGAAGATGGAAAGAAATTTGATTCCTCCCGGGACAGAAACAAGCCCTTTAAGTTTATGCTGGGCAAGCAGGAGGTGATCCGAGGCTGGGAGGAAGGGGTAGCCCAGGTATGCTATCATTTGTTTTGTTTTTTTCTTTGTTTCTACCTGTTAAATTGTTTTTCTAGGAAAACATTCATATGATTTGAAAATCAAAAAGGTATAATCTCTCCTCCCACCCCCTCCTTCTTCTTTCTTCTTCTTCCTCTCTCCTCCTCCTTCCTCCCTCCTCTTCCTCCTGCCTCCCTCTTCCTCCTCCTCCTCCCCCCAGGACATTGGGCTTGTGAGGCAGGCATAATGCCACTGAGCTAAATCCCTGGCCTTGCACCCCTTCTTAATACCCCCGACAAGTAGCTATTAATGTGTCTTGTGTTACAGACTTTTAAGCATATATGGAAGTGTACATACACTTTTCTTCCCTTTACACACCAGAACATTAAACATACCAGAACATAAACAGCTCTACATGTATGAGGTGGATGTGTTACAATTTAATTTGACAGAGCACTAACAATGGCTGTTAGGGCCATCTCCAGTATTTTGTTATTATAAAAAATGCAGTAGTGGCTCATCTTGTAAACTTTATTTTACATATATGCAAGTGTTGCTATAGAACAGAATTCTCCAAAGTGGGGTGAGTGGCTCAAAGCTGCATGATGCACAGGCCTTGTCATGTTGCCTTCATCAGGATTGCACTCTGAGCTACCACTGACATGCAGTAAAGGTGCTGGCTACTCCCAGCCCCAACAGTACAGTGCAGTAATAAACTTCTGGCTGTGGGACAATATGATAAATGGAAAATGGTGTATTGTGTAGTTTTACTTTGTGTTTCTCTTATTATTGCCCATGTCACATCCAGTCCCTTGGGAGAGGTCACACTTGTGGAGAAAGTAATTTTGTCTTGAGTTTGATTCCTCATCTCTTCCCTTCCATTTGTGAAAGTAGCTTTTGTTCTGTCAACATGACAGAATTCCCGGGAGACAATAGGAGAACCAGGGTTGCCAAATTTCAGTTGGATTCTGTCTTTACCAGACAGGGATTTTTCCTTGGCTTTAAGCAGATAAAGGGATTTTTACAGTGGGCTGAGACCCTAGGGGCTTTATAATTAGGCTCTGGATAATGGGTAATATAATCTTTTCTTCTCACCAAGAAGTAGAAATTTAACCAGGATAAAAGAAAGATTCTTTCTTTTCCAGAATACACATTGCTCCACTTACTTTGTAAAATATCACCAATTTATATCTGAGGAAACTGCTTAACTTTTAGAAACTTTAAGCCTCCTCACTCCCAGGTGTCTGGATCTCTGCTTCTGTAGGGCAGAGGGTTGACAGCATAGGGAAGAGCCCCTTTGTGGCTTCCTTCTCTTGGGAAACCTTGCCAGCCATATCTCTTTGTCCCTGTACTTGTGATCTGGCCAGCTCTTGGGTCTGTAGCTCATCCCTCACCTGCTATGCTAACCATTGTCCACATGACAGCTCATCTTCTGTGACTGTACCAGCATTGGGACAGTGACTATTGTGTGGCCCAAGTGCTACAGCTGCTATTGAGATAGCATTATCCACCTAAGCCACATCCAGAGTTTTCGAGGCATAACAGACCTGGGCAATGTCCAGATCCCTTTGCTTTGGGGTCCATTATAGCCCTGTCACTTATGAGAAGATTGGGTAGTGTGAGAACTACATAAAACATCTTTTAAACTCTCCTGTATAGAATGTTGAGTTAAAGACATAGGAGGAAGAAGGGACTGTCTTCTGCTCCTTTTTAAGGTCTCGTGCCTCTTCTTGGTTTTACATGTTTCCAGGTGCCACAAGTACTGTATAGGCAGTTTCCTTTTTCTCATAGTATGTTTTGGGCATCTTTCCATATTAGTACATTAAAAGCTGGCTACTATATTCTCCCCCCCCCTTATCAATATTGGAGATTGATTTAACCTAGTGCCTTCATCCTGAGTTAAATCTCAGCACCTTTAGTTTTTATTTTGAGACAGCATCAAAGTCACTAATTTGCCAGGCCATACTTGAACGTGGAATCTTCCTGCCTCAGCCTCTTAGAGTGCTGTGATTTTTTTTTTTTTTTTTTGGTGCCGGGGATTGAACTCTGGTCCTTGCGCTTGCAAGACAGGTGGCAAAACCACTGAGCTAAATCCCCAGCCATAGAGTGCTGTGATTACAAGCATGTACCATCTTGCCTAAGTATTACTATATTTTTTCTAATGGCCAGTCTATGGTATGAACATGCCTGTGAAACACACCCCTTTTGATGGGTTAGAATATGCTAGAAGTAGAAATGTTGAGTCAAAAGATAGGATTTTTTTGAATTTTATTAAATAAAGCCATATGCTCTTAACTGTCCTTACTACCTTGATCCGTCATGTTCCAGTTGCTCAGAGATGCTAAAGTATAGATTCTGAGTTGCATTAGAAACTTCATTTCACCCCATAGCTTCCTCTGTGGTTGTCATCTCTTGTGCTCGGTCACAGCCAGAAACACACACGTAGAAACTACAAAGCAAAACAGGTAAAGAATAGAAATACAGCAGAAAACCTATTCAGTGTTTCAGAAAATAGGTATTTACATTTACTTGTGTATTTGATTAAAAACAAAAAATATACAAATGTATTTTTTAAAGTAAAAATTTTCCCTCCGTGCTGGTCACTCTTCACACTCACTACTCTCACTTAATGGTGTCCTTCCAAAGATGTTTTCCATATATACAGCAGGTACAAATATATAAATAATCTCATAAATGATAGCATGCTATTTTGTACTGCAAAAAAAATCATACTATTTTGAAGTTTCTCAGTATAGGAGTGTAAATATAGAAAGTACAGGAAAAAATAGATTATCCCAACTACTTTATTTTCTTTTAAAGCAAAGATTTGATCAAGGTACCTGTCAGCCCTCTTGTGTTCAGTTTCCACATCCATGGATTCAACCACATATCAAAATATTTCAAGAAGTTGAGTCTGTGTTGAATATATACAACCTTTTTTGTCATTTCCCAAATAGCAGATTATAAAAACTTTATCTAGCATTTACATTGTATTAGGTATTATAGGCAATACAAAAATGATGTGAAATGTTCAAGAGGATGTGTGTAGGTCATATGCAAATATTCTATATAAGGACTTAAGCATCACAGGTTTTGGTATCCTCAGAGTCTTGGAATGAATCTAGTTCTTTTACTAAAAGGAACATAGATGCCACTTAACCAAATGTCCTCTGAGTGACAGACCACTGAGGACTGGTTGAGGAAAGTTCTAGATTGTTGCCTGCCCAGTGGCCATCAGTAAGACCTGGTAGAAGGTTGAAGGCCTGATTCTGTAGGAGTCAAGAGGGGTTTTGCACTGCCATTGGGACCCTTGGGGTCTGACTGCCAGCTTCCAAGTCCTTTGTGGGCAGGAGGAGGAGGTGCTTGATACCTGCACAGCTAGCTGCAAAGTGACTGGAATGTCCTAGCCAACACAAAAACTGTGCTGACCAGGGAACTTCCAGGTAAACCATTCTGCTTCTACAGAGACGAGGAGTGTATCCAACTGAGCATTTCTTCCTTGTTCTTTTCACAGATGAGTGTGGGTCAGAGAGCCAAACTGACTATCTCCCCAGACTATGCCTATGGTGCCACTGGGCACCCAGGCATCATCCCACCACATGCCACTCTTGTCTTCGACGTGGAGCTTCTAAAACTGGAATGACAGGAGTGGCCTCCTCCCTTAGCTCCCTGTTCTTGGGTAAGGAAACAATACTGAAGGGCCTTTTTGACTGCTTTTGCATCTCCCTTGTTATGCCCAGGGTTTGGTGGATAGAGGCCAAAAAAAACCTATGAGGCTTACTTTTTCTCCTGTATCCTTCCCCTATAGAGCATCCTTTAAAAAAAAAAAAAAAAAATCTTTTTGAGACAAGGTCGTGCTGTGTAGTTCAGGCTGGGCTGGAACTCATTGTGTAGTCCAGGCTGGCCTCAAACTCGTGGCCGTCCTCCTGCCTGTCTTCCGAGTGCTGAGGTTACAGGCATGTGCCACCATGCCTGGTTAGGGCATTCTTTTAATGTACACCTTGCATATAAAAGCTAGTTATCCAAAGAAAAGGGATGGCATATGTTCTGGAATGAACTCATGGGGATGGCAGCTGTTACAACAAACTTTTTATATATAGCTTATTAACTGAGTTGGGGACTGTGGAAACACAGGCCTCATGGCTAATGTTGGCATTTTAGTTCTTTAGAAGACTTGATGACTTCACTCTACCCCATGTTTCTAGACGCTAGTAAGCAAAGCACCTCTCCTGCAAATGTGTAGCCTGTGTGGCTTTCTCAGCTGTACAATTTGCGGTTACTGCCTGTTAGAAGATGTGAGGGAGGCATTACTGTCTTAGTCCACCTGCCTCAGGGACCGAGCTCAGGACACTCAAGGCCAGCTTGTTTTCAGTGAATGGAGAGGAAAGATGAGGCGAGAGGATACTTGTGAAATTTAAAGGATTCACTCAGGTCACATAGTCCTGGGAAGGATCTGACTCACCCTGTGCAGCAGGTGAGGAAACTGAGACCTAGGAAGAAAACCTTTTCTCAGGGTAACATTCAGGCTGTAGCAAAAGGACTAGAGCCTATTTCCTGACATCCCTCTTCTACACTTATTTTTTTGGGGGAAACCAAACAATATCCTAATAGGGCATCCCTTTTTGTGCAGGTATTAGAATCATTACACACAGGAATGCTGTCATCTGCTTTCCAACTGCCCAGTTCTTCCTATTCACTGCCCACCTGTCCATGGAACCAGAAGGCCACAGCCAGAGGCTAAATGAGGACGCTTTTGTTTGAAAGCTGTAGCAAGTGGCTGCTAACTCAGTGATGGCAATCGGAGCTACTTGGAATCTTGCCTTGCAGCAGGCTTCTTGAAGTGAGAGGCTCTTTTATTATTAGCAATCTTTCCTCTCAGTAGCCTGAGATGTAAATATATACTGAGGTAATACAGGGCTGGCCAGGTTTGATAACTTAGCTTCTTTGCTCATCATTTCTACCAAGAGGAAATCTTATACTCTATGTCTGCCCAGAGGTGCCTACCTCATCCCGATCCCTTTCCTGTTCTTAGAGAGGTAAGTTATTTGAATATAAATGCACACAGGGAGCCTTGGAGTTATCCTATTTCCGAATATTTTCTGTAAGCCAGATGGGTTGGAGGAAGGAAAAAGAGAGAAAGAGGTGAGGGCTACAAGTCACCCTGACCTAACCCTACCCTCTGCCAAACATCTCAGAGCTTCTTACAAAGATCACAAAGGAGAGCCTGAAGGCAATTCAGAAAGTTGTAGATTTGACTGAATGAATACATTTTCTAGTCTACTCACCCTGACAAATAACAAGGTGTGGTTCTCAGTCTGAATTCAGTTAATCACAGTAACTGGGGATGGGATTCAAGCATTAAGATTTTTTCAAGCCCCCAAGTGATTCCTGTATGTAGCCAAGTTGGAGACTAGAGATAATGGGGAACTATGCTGTCAGCAACATGGGTCAAGGTCTTCTATCCTCAGCAAGCTGCACATAAACTTCAGGACAAAAGAGCAAAACAAAATACATGGACCAATTTAAGCAGGAAGAAGTTGGCTCACCTGGGAACCCAGCACCAGCCTATCTGGCTTTCTCCAGCTAGAAGAGAAATGGTGTTGTCCCAGCAAGACCTCTTAGCTGCTAGGGACAAGATTTGGTGTGGCAGATGGCATTGTGGCTGTCCTCAGAAAGAACAGAGTTGCTGGAACTCACAGATTTTCTGTTCTCAACAGATCTGCTATGGAGGGATCCTGTGTCTCCAGATGCGTGCACATGAATCAATATGGAGCTTTTCCTGATATCCCACTACTCTTTATATAAACATCTACCCCGACTGAATGTGTTCTGTCACTCAGCTTTGCTTCTGACACCTCCATTTCCTCTTCCCTGTGTCCTTGTATGTGTGTTTACCTAAACTATATGCCATTAACCTCAAGTTATTCATTTTGTTTGTTTTGGGTTGAAGATTCAGTTTCAGTCTTTTGGATCTAGTTTCCAATTAAGTATATTGTCAAGTATTAAGAGCACAAGTGATGGGTTAACTTTAGAATAGTAATTAGTGTTGGGGGGGGTTCCAAGAATTTTGGGGGGGGGATGAAATTTTTATCTATTATATATTAAACATTCTTGCTGCTGCGCTGCAAAGCCATAGCAGATTTGAGATGTGGTTGAGGGCTGAATTATTCTCCATTGTGAGAGATGTTCTTGGGTTAAATTAAAAGCCCTACCCAAAGCTGAAGTGGGGAGGGGGAGAGCCTTAGCCTCTGTCAGCCCCAGCCACCTCCCCTGAAACCTTTGCCTTTTGAAAGCAGATCACTTTCACTGCAATGTTGGACACTACAGGTATCTGTCCCTGGGCCAGCGGGGACCTCTGATGCCTTCTTGACCTACTCCCCCAACCCCATTTTTCTAATGGATTTTCAGGACTTTTATAATCTCATAACTATTTAAGCTCCACTTCCTAAATTTTAAGAACTTTAATTGAAAGTTTAAATTGAAGGTGCTGTTTGTAGACTTATCACCCAACGAAAGCCCTGCCATCATGACAAATCCTTGAGTGTTCTATTAAAATAATGATGCTGGTCATCGCAGCTTCAGCATCCCCTGTTTTTTGTTTGTTTTGGGGTTTTTTTTTTTGTGGGTTGTTCTGTTTTGGTTTTGTTTTTTTTTTTTTGATGCTTGGCTCCCTCTGCTGATCTCAGAGCTTCCTGGCTTTTCTTCCCTCAGTCCCTTCTCACCCTTTGCTGTCCTGTGTAGTGATTTGGTGAGAAGTGTTGCTTTGTTCCCCATTCCACCCACGCTCAGCACCACCCCTATCCCCGCGCCACATATGAGTTTCAAGTTTTATTATTGCAATAAAAGTGCTTTATGCTGACTTTTCTCAGCTCTGTGTCATGGTGGTTACTTTCACATGCCTCCCCTGCCATTTGGTGCAGGGGGGAGGGTCTGGATGAGGGAAAGGTAGCAATAGGGATAGTGTCCAAAGTTAAATGTTAGCAGAACTGCAGCAGTGATCATCCTTACCCATTGACCACTCTGGGGTGGGTGAGGAGGAGGAGGAAGATTTGGCCATAGGTTGTCATCAAAAGAACTGTCTGGAAGTCAGGCTGGGATAGTCAGGGAGTACCCCCTCCCCCATCGTCACATGTCCTTAAGTATGTGTTCTAGGTGGAACACTGTGCCACCTAGTTCTTGGGCTACGAAGACGTGTGAGATATATCCACCTCTCAAGAAGAAAGTCACAGTCAAGAAGCAAATTGATGAAGAATTACAAAGGGAAGATTTTGACTTTAAATTATTCCTCGGTAACATTTGGTGTGGAAAGACTGCCACTTAGACTGAATGATTACAGTACCTTTCCTGATCCCCAGCCTGTATGTGCCAGTATCATTCTTCCCTTACTGAAAGTTATGGAGGCTAGCAAATTACTCTGACACTCAAAACTGCTCTGGTTGGGCCAGGGATTTAGCTCAGTGGTGCCACCGCCTGCCTCGAAAGCGCAAGGTCCTGAGATTGATCCCCAGTATCAAAAAAACCCAAAAAACAAAAAACTGCTCTGGCTGAGAGCCACTGACTTTAAATAGGTTATTTAAGGACTTGATTAATGACTTTCAAATTTTTTCCTTTTGTTTTTAATTTATATTGTTGGAGTAATATTCCAGGATCGTATTTTCTCAAAAGTTCTTTTAAAATTTGTCAAAGTGGAAAGCTCCTTAGCTGTTCACAAAGGCGATGCATCTTTCTCTACCTCTTAGCATCATGTTGACCTCTTGAAGGCATTGCGCAGCGACTCCTATGTGGAGCTGAGCCAGTACCAGGACCAGCACTTTCGAAGTGACAACAAGAAAAATTACTGAAGAAAAGTTGTACATTGTATATCGGAAATCTTTCCTTTTACACAACTGAAGAACAAATTTATGAACTCAGCAAAAGTGGTGACATAAAGAAGATCATTATGGTTTTGGATAAAATGAAAACAGCGTGTGGCTTCTGTTTTGTGGAATACTCGAGAGCAGATGCAGAAAATGCCATGCGTTTCATAAACAGAACTCATCTGGACGACAGGATCATTCGCACAGACTGGGATTCAGGCTTTAAGGAGGGCAGGCAGTATGGGCGCAGGCAATCTGGAAACCAGGTTTGCGATGAATACCAGCAGGACTATGACGCGGGAAGAGGGGGCTATGGAAAACTTGCACAAAAGCAGTGAGTGGCAGGAGCCCTATCATTGCAGAATTCCCTCCCTCCCTTCTGGTAACTGCTGAAAAAGTTAGCAGAACCATTTTCTGTTACCAGATCAAAAAGTGTGTTCCTTGTGGCTGAGAATGGAGTTCAGTGGTAGAGAAAAAGAAATGTGTTCCTCAGCAGCAGATTCAGCCTATGATGTTAATCTGTCAGCCAAAAAATACCACACAGGAAGACTAGAAAAATGTAAAAGTTTATTTTCTGTTGCTAGGGTCTAAGTAGGCTCATGATCTACACTGGAACTTGGAACAATTCTTTTTTAAATTTGAAGTTTGCATGATGTAAAATTTTTTAGGATAAAATGGAGTTTTGTTATGTTGTACAGTTTTGGTGTAAGGAAGAGTTGTCTGACAACTGCATTTGTTTTCTATGTTGAATTCTGATTTCTAAAGGCAAACTTTGACCTTCCTAAGTATTTGCGCAAAAGCCTGAGATCTCAGGACCCTACCCCACCCCTAGTTCTCTGCTTTAGTGCAGGACTTGAGTTCTGCTAAATACATTTTTCAAGAGATACAATATTTTGCCTAAAACTGAAAAAGTGTCTCTAACATGGAGATCCCCCAAAGAATTTGTTTTGCATTTGTAAAGCAAGAGATGATTTCTTATGTGTGAGTATAATTTTCCCTAATTAGAAAAAATACAAAATGTTTTCATCTAGCAACAGAGCATCTTCCAACATTCAGTAGTATGTGAAGGTTGTGGCTGGAGTACTCTTCTGTGAACATCTTTCATGTTAGACCAAGTGTGAGTTTTCTCAGTCAGTTCCAAACTGGTTATTGGAATTTTTTGAAGCACTGTTGTTGGTTGTGAAGTAAGAAGAAACCATTTACAAACATCTAATGATACACTCACTATTCATTTGTAAAATTTGTTTTTATACTGTACTTTGAGCTAATTTATATTCTTCTGTAGTAAGACATAACTGAGATTTCTAAAGGCCTTAAAACCAAAGATATTGGTTCTTATTTGTCTTGTAACATTACAATAAAGTTGGACCAACTTATAAAAATAAAATTTGTCAAAGTGAAGGATTGTTTGAGGAAATACTAGATTCTGTTATAAAAATGTTGCTGTACCTATTTTTCACATATAAACATGCAGATACAAATTGATGGATAGATACCATCCTTTTTGTCAACATTTCATAGAAAATGACAGGTATTACTACAGTTCCCCCAATATATATCATAGGTAGTGTATAGTATTTATACTTTTACACCATTAACAAAATGTAGAACATCATTGTCTCAGGAAAGTTCCATTATTCCTTCTAGTTAATTCCTACGCCACCTCCAGAGGCAAAAGTTTTGATTTTACACTGAGCTACAACCTTATCTCACTAATTTGTCCAGGCTGGACTTGAATTTGCAGTCCTGCCTCAGCTTCCCATAGTGCTGGGATAACAGGCATGTACCACCATCCCCACCTTAGAATTTAATTTAAATAGAGTTCTACCTCATACCCTCTGGCACTTGTTAGTCAGTGTGCTTTAAGGCTCACAGGAAAGCTGTTCTCATTGAACTTTTTCAGAGAAACTAGATCAGGGTTGGCGTTTACAGCAGAATCATCGCCTCAGTGATGCCTATATCCTTATCCCCAGCAGTACTGGTTTTGCAGATAAGATTAAACAGAACCCTGAGATAAAGAGATTTATCTTATATTACCCAAGTAGAGCAATTCATACAAGGGTCAGAGAAGATGTGAAGGTACAAAGACATTTGAGGATGCAGTGCCACTGGATTCAAAGATGGAAGAAGCGGGTACAAGCCAAGGAAATGAATTCTTCTCTGGGGTTCCTAAAAGGAACAGAACCCTGCTCATACCTTATTTTTGGTCCCATGAAATGCTTTTTGTACCTAACTTCCAGAATTGAAGTAATTAGTATTGTTTTAAACCAGTAAGTTCATGGTAATCTTACAGCAACAAACACAAATAGAAAACTAATATAGGATCACTTTTTAAATCTGCACGGTAAGTCCCCAATTTACAGAACAAGTTCTGTTCCAGGAGAACGTTTGTAAATTGGATTTGTTTGTAATCCAACAAAGTTATGCAGTACACCTGTGAATCTTTTTTTTCCCCCTGTACCAGGGATTGAACTCAGGACCTTGCACTTGTGAGGCAGGTGCTGTGCCACTGAGTTAAATCCCTAGCCAGGTCTGTGAATCTTACACAGTACGCCTGTGAAAATTTGCAGCTCAAATGTTCGTAAGTCAGGGACTTACTGTACAGGAAAACTACTCCCAGCAAATCCAACTTCAGTTTCTCCTTCCCTTCTAGTTCTTGCCCTAAGCACTTAAAATTTCCACTTTTAATCACAGCATAGTAAAAATTTTGCATTTCTTCCCTGCTACCCCCCCTTAAGTTTTTTTAATTTTATGAAAAAAATTTCATAAAATAATAGTTAATGCCCTGTGTATCATTATCTTTAAAGTAGTTACACAGTACAAGACATAGACCAAAAAAAGATTCTTACAAAGCTGAAACACATAATAGCACAAAACTTTCTTTTCAGTGACTGAGAGAAACTAGTAGTACAAATGACACAAATTAGCATCTATATTAAAATTCTTTTGAACAGCAGAGTAGGTAATTTGGGGAATTATTTGAGCTTCTTTCTGTTTACCTTGTTAAAGAATTTTTTGTTCTGTAAGTAAAATGGTTTGTGAAAATACAAAGTGAACATGTTAAAGATTTTATTTACTCATTAATGAGAGAAGTGCTGAGGTGTTTTCTTTGGTTCAAAGGAGAATCCAAGAAGCAAGTAAATATATTAGCCCAGTAACAGTGCTGAAATTAATAACATAAACCTGGCAAAATTGGCCAATATCCATAGCAATAATCAGATACATTCCTGTAGTCACAACATACATTTCTGTGGGCAAGAGTCTGCTTTATCAGTTTCCTTTAGTTTATGTAACTAAAGTGGCTCAAAACCAATTAAGATGTAGACAACCCTGAAGGGTGGGTTAGATGCAACACCTCTGAAGAACAGGGATGGACCTATTTCAGAATCCTTCGTAGTGTTTACCGATCTATTGTCAGATACTTGGGTTATTTCCACTTCTTTGCTTTTATTAAAATGAATTTGAAAGCCAATACATTTTTGAACATGTAATCTTTTTCTATTCTAAATGCTCTCTTCTAGAGTAAAATACTAGAAGGGGAACTGTAGGGTCAGAAGAGATTTAATGTCTTGACTTGCATTGCCAAGTTAGACCAGAGTTGTTTTTTTACCTCCACGCTAAAAAATACTACCCATGTCCCAATCCAGATAATGAGCCATCATTTCTATGATCTACAAAAGAAAACTAAGAATCTTCAATTTTCTAAAAGCCTTTTGCTGTGAGTTGAAGGTTCCCATGAAGGTTTATGTGTTGGAAACTTGATTCTTGGTGTGGCAGTGTTGTGAGGTAGGGTCCAGTGGGAGGTATTTGAGTCATGAGGGCTTTGGTCTCATGAACAGATTAATAACATCACAGAAGTGGGTTTGTTATTGTTGGACTATGTTCACTGTGTAAGGATAAATTCTGTTCTCTTGCCCTCCCTCTCTCTGCCTTTGGCCTTTCATCTTCCTCCAGAGTATCACAGCAGAAAGGCTCTTGGTAGATGCCATGCTTTGATCTTGAACTACCCCGC